CAGAATAGCCGCTTCAATACACGTATGAAAGTCAAAGACTCAGCACACACTCCTGAGGAGCAATACAAGGGTGGTCATTGAGTAAGATAGATGCGAGTACCCCGGAAGAGGAGAATAGAAAGAAACGCTAGATTAGATCAATGTTTACCGTCTTCTAATTCTTCCAACTCTGATCGTCCTGTTGAAACTGGGCGGATGATGTCTTGTCAACGTTGGATGTCAGATGCCTCGATTACGAAAAAGCCTTGTGGTAAAGGAATGTACGTTCTTATCAACAGAGGCGACGGTCCGCGGATAAACTTCCACTCTATATGGCGATTGGCATATCATCACATCCAAATTACCGCCTCGAGTCAATGTCTATCGAAATGGAATGAATGATGGTCGTGGATGTAGTGACAAGAGATGAAACACATCAAAAAATGAGTGGGTTGTGGTGAGGAGGGGCATGGCACGTGCGAAGCGAACGGTATCCACCCACAGTCTAGATGCATGTGATCAACGGACTTTCTTACTGCAGGGGTTTAGATTATTGTAAAACTTTTCTATTGGTGATAGGTATATCTGTTTATGGAGAGTTAATAACGTTTTCCACCTTCCTAAATGGCCTTTGTTTCCGTTTTCCCATTTCCCCTCTTTGCTGTAACGTTGAATTATCCCCATTCTTCTCTCTGCAATTTCCCAGGCGTCCTGCTCTCAGACCCTCAGACCTTTCTTGAACACTTCTTGTCTACTGAAAACGTCTGGCCGATGAAGAAACGGTTCTCATTTATATGTATTCGAAGGGAATACGAAGAGGATTGCTGCGATAGCGAACGCCCTAGGCTACTTTCCCCGGAATGGTTCTTACTTTTCTACGTAAAATACGCCAACCTTCGCATTTGGCGCCCAATCACATTATTCATATAAGCGCAACGATGCTTTTTGCCGGGTAAATGGCAGTCAAACGCCTCTTTTTGACCCCCTTCTACTCTATTTCTTGGTCATTTTGATAGGCTTTTTGTTGTTTCATGCATTCAATATACTGGGGTCGTCTACACCCAATAGTAAAAGTCGTACGCGCTTAGTGATTGTTTGATCCGCGCCAATCAAGAGTTCATAGACTTTGGACAGGACCCGACAGTTTGGTTGAGGCAAATGCCACTGATTTGCCGTGGTGTCATCCCGCTGATACTCGCAATGATGCCTGCAATTTTTGCCTTTTTCATTAAAAAGCCCCCATGGCTCAATCTAAGTAGACATGAGAGATTTTAAGTATGCAAGGTCTAGCCCAAGCCATTTGCTCTTCTTTGTGATATATAGAATGGTATGGTAACGCAGAACCAAATCCTATTTTTCCGTGTTCTTTCTTTATAATGACAGTTGCGCGCTATGAATCTGCATTCGGCACACAAGAGTTATGCATTTAATGCTGCGTTGGCTCGTTCTTGTTGATATGGTGCTGGCAACCTCATCATCAATGCCATTTTTAGGAGAGTTTCTCAATCCGAGTGCAGGGGCGACTCAAAATCCGTTATGGATGATCGGGACCCAGCAGACTTTATCATGGGAAACGAGCCTTAATAACTATACAATCGCGTTATGGAATCAAAACTCGGATGGAAATGGATACTCTAAGGGTCCGGCCCTTTTAGGTACTGCAATTCTTCCTCATCGTTGTGACCATTGATTTTTACTAATGCCCACATCGCAGAATTATATGATGGGTCGGTCACGTCACTAAATTGGACGGTTCAGACCTACGCATTTTCACTCTCTGCGTCTCCTGTGTTCTATCTATTACTTGTAAGCAAATTAATTTGATCTTTTGAATTCTCAAGTTACGAGATCGTTGTCATTATCACTTGTTTTTTAACCACAAGCGCGTTTTTGAGAACAGGTAATAAGTCTTGTGAATACTATCGACTGTTCAAAAAAGAGCCGTGTTATACGTGTGTCTGTTTCTACCATATTTTGGGGATTGACCTATTTCTTTCCATGTGTCAATACTTTGGTCGATAAAAGTGCTCAAAAGGATGAACGGATCGCACTTGTTTCGTTATGCTTTTGAACCTGGAGTTTCTGAACAAATACCCTCAGATCAGGCATACTGACAAGTCGCCAGCAACCCGGCACTCTCAGCGACAATGGCAATGATACCATACCAACAACTCAATTTATCGCATCACATACCTTCAACATAACCTCCACGATGCCAATTATAGAAGGCGATAAGAAAGACCACAAACTAGGACTCATACTCGCTCTATCCCTCACCATTCCCTTCGTTCTTATATGCGTTTCCCTAGCAATATACTTCATTCGCTCACGACGACGGCGTACGCTCGAAAACCCTCCTCGTTGTCAATACCCTTATCATGTTGGATTTCGACAAAGCCGGAATCCATTCTTTACCGCAAACAGCTCTCCTACTACATTTACCTTTCCAAAAGGTAACTCTCCTCGAGATCGACAAAGACAAGGTAGCAAAACCAGCAACAACGGCATTTACTTCCCACCTCCTCCGACCATTCCAAAATCTCCTCTATCATTTACCTCCAGTCTCAAGAGCCTACGCGGCCTTAGAGGAAACACGACGAGTTCAGGTAACAACCAAAATCATATCCAACGCCTCAGTCCAACTTATCCCTCCTCTTATCCCCGCAGCCCAGGTGAATACCATCAATCTAACTATCTATCACCCACATATCATCCTCTGCAAAGAGTTCCATCTCTTACCTCCACAGATGCCGGAAATCCGCACATTCAACAACTACAAGAAGCACAACAAGAACTTGCTACGCAGCGTCAAAGACAGGGGTCAAGAATGGAGTATCAACCTCCAGAAATAAGTCCATATGATGAACCTCGAGTTGGACCCGACCACGGAGATCACAAATGGGTTATAAAATCTTATATGCCACCGGAGATGCCATCTGCTACCAAAAAGAGATACCATGAAGAGCAGGCTGAGGCAAGGATTGCGAGGAGGAAACACAATTATGATGAGCCGGATGAACTGTGGTAGGAAATAATGGATGGTGTTTCAAGGGCTCAAATAGGTTGTGAGCAGCACACTCTCGAGAGAATTTTACTATGTCTTTACGGCAAGTTTCACTTCTACTATATATATTAGGAGGCCACGGGAAGAATTTTTTATTTAGGTATATATGGAATTATTTAAAGGAGGCAGAGGAAACCTGTAGACTTAGTTAAGCAATGGAGATACCCAAACATACCACGGCTAATCAACAAGCCATCATCTCATAATATACCGAATAACTCAAAACAGACCAACATCAGGCCATCCAATTTTCAACAAACCCTATCCACTGACAATGTAGTGTCAGTTAATACTACTCAAAAATCACGTCACGTCCAAACACCGTATCATTTGCACGCATTCACATGTTTTGTACAGAGTAGGTTATACGTGGATTGAGGCACAGCAATGTGATGTGACCATACGACCTCACTCCACCAACCATCCATGCCATGATACCACCGATTGTTGCACTGCAGTACCGCAGTCTATCTGCATTAAAGCAACTCTTCGATATCATTTCGAATCATTTTTGCGGTATTAATATGAGAAAATTTGGGAAGATTTGACTTGGTGTCTACTAAATCTAGTTTCTATCAGGAGGTCTGGAATTCTGGATATAGGTCGATGTAGGTATTGGTTTTATTATTCATATTGGTTGGAAATTGAAAGGATACTATTCTGTTTGTAAGCAAGCAAGCAAGCAAGAGGTACTCGTGGGTTTAGGGATGTAACTATAATAAGTAGTTGAAAGTATAATAAGTAGTTGAAAGTATAATTAGGTAGTTGAAAGTATAATTAGGTAGTTGAAAGTATAATTAGGTAGTTGAAAGTTATAAGCTATATCTGCTTTATATTTTAATGCTTTTTCTTGGGTAGTGAGATGAGGAAAGGAATCTTGGGTGTTGTTTCGGGGCTCGCTTAAAGTTTTGGGGGTACATGACAACTTAATGTTGGAGTCCTCAGCGTATACCAAATTTCTGGGTAGTTAAACAAATGTTTGGCTCCCAAAATTAGCGTATCAAATTCTAACTCTGATTCTCCAATCCATACTTCTATTCAGAAAGTCTGTTACACATATTCATTGGAAGAAAAAATTGGCCAATTGCTGGATGAGGGATTGTTTAAAAAAGAAAGCTTTATAGTTACTGGGGGTAAAAGTTGCGTGGGACTTTTGTTGATGTGGTCACTGGTGGTGCAGAACAGATTAATCTTACCTCACCAACGACTCACCAACAGCACCTGCATATTCCATATTCCCCGGTAGAAGTTGTTAGGTTACAAGCGGTCCGTTCCTTTCTTTTGGCTTTGGGTCAAATATTTCTCCGTCGCGGTAGAAGTCGCTACATACGCATTTTTGATTATACCCATATCTTCTCGATGGTGAGATTAGATAGCAGCTCGGTTGAAGATGCTGTGCTGGATCTTTAAGGGTAGCGAACTGCTGTACCGTGACTGATTTTGATAGTTCTAGATGATCTCAGACCATCTCAATGCTCCAAAAATCCCAATCTCCCCAATGATTTCACCATCCCAGATATCGAATTTTTTAAATCAAGCCTAGAATTCCTTTCCGGGAGCTCCATTGTCGAACTCTGCGTGAGAATACCTGCGAGTTGCAATTGCTACTGAGCGACTTCACTGTATGGTATGGTGCATGGTTTGAATAATGATAAGTCCAGCGGAAATCTAAGTCTTACAAAGATATACAAGTCCATATGGGAAGTATCTAGAGAGGCAGGAGCAAAACCATACCTTTGCTTTTATACATACCTAACTAATACTCCCCACAGCAATCGTACATTATCCCCCCCCCAAAAAAAACAGAAAAAACTCCACAATATACCTAGTAAATCATACAGCTCCACCACACCACACCACAACCCCACCTTCACCCAATCCATTCCTCTCTCTCCACCCCAAGAACCCCCTATCCCAAAATCCCCCAAAAAGGCAATCCTGCAAAAAAATATTAGATTCTCTCAGGCGTGAGTCGAACACGCGACATCCAGATCACAATGCGCCACGGGTGAGGTGAGCACAACAATTACAGTCTGACGTCATAAACCAACTAGACGACCGAGAGCGATTTTCCGAGTAGACTCGAATTCGTCATTCGTACCATTGTGGCATGATTGGTTGTTTGTTATGGATGGGGGGCGGTTTGCGGTTTTGTTGTAGTGGTTGGGGTGAGGAGTGGGTTTTTGGGTGGGGATGGGTGGATTGGGATGTATGGGTTTGTGTTATACCTACCTACTAGGTACTTGTACATTTTCAAATAAAAGATTAGTAGAGGTTTTTCTGCCGCTAGTTTTTATAGATGTGGAGGCGAGCGAGAAGTATTTGCCATCATGAATGAATGCACGCACCACGAAAAGCACAATCGTTAAAGCTGAGTTTTATTCATATTCCTATAGCTATCGGGCCAACGCCTCAGAAACTAATACCATATTAGGTCTAATACCTTTCAAGCCTCCAGCATCTCCGACCGTACTATTCTTATCCTTTAAAAAAAGACTACCCACTCCTCCCTCCCTCTAAAACCTCCGATCACCCCGTATCTCCTCACTGCAACATCTTCTCATCCTTTCCACCCTTCTGAAACGGCCACCTCCACTCCCGGATATGAACTGGATCAATCCCATTCTCAAAAGCATCTCTCCTGGCCATAATCTGCATATTCAACAATTTCTCCCTAACATGCGCCCCCTTATTACCCAATCTCTCCACCCTATCTACGGCATCCATCGCCAAACTATATCGATCCGTTTGATTCCTAATCGCCAACTCTAATGGCGTATCGATGTTACCCTTTTCCTTGTATCCACGAACGTGAATGTTGACTTGGCCGGGACGCTTATAGGTAAGACGGTGAACGAGCCATGGATAGGAATGGAAATTAAAGATGATGGGTTTATCGGATGTGAAGATAGAGATCCAATCCTTGTCTGTGATACCGTGGGGATGATCACCGTGATGGATTAATTTGAACAGATCCACCACGTTTACGAAACGGATCTTTAGATCTGGGATGAGTTCTCGAAGGAGCGCGGTAGCAGCTAGAGACTCGTGGGTGGGTACGTCTCCACAAGCGGCCATGATAACATCCGGTTCGAAGCCTTGGTCGTTAGAGGCCCAGTCCCAGATTCCGAGCCCCTTTTCACAATGAGTGAGTGCATCTTCCATGTTTAGATATTGAAGATGATCTTGTTTATCGGCGACGATCACGTTGACGTAATTTGTGCTGCGGAGACAATGGTCCATACAGGATAGAAGACAGTTTCCATCGGGTGGGAGGTAGATCCGTACGACTTCAGGACTCTTGTTGGCGACGACGTCGAGGAATCCAGGATCTTGATGGGTGAAACCATTGTGGTCCTAGAATATCAGAGAATCAGTAAATATCCGTTGGGGAAATGATTGGAAGAGCATGAGGCAGTACAAGTAGAAAATGAGGATTGAGATCAGGGCTGTTGAGATAAAAAAAAACAATGATTGCTGCTTACCTGTCTCCAGACAGTGGCTGTCAAAAGAATATTAAGAGATGCCATCTTTACACGCCATTCGACTTCATTACACTTCTCAATCCATTTGCAATGTTGATTAACCATAGAATCAATAACGTGAATGAATGGTTCATAGCTGTTCAGTAAACCATGGCGACCCGATAAGATATATCCCTCCAACCAACCCTCAACAGTGTGCTCACTAAGCATTTCCATGACACGGCCTTCGGTAGCAAGATTACCACCATCAGCATCCTCTTCGAAATTCTCACCCATCCAAACCTTTTTGCCAGCCTTGTAAACTTCGCCAAGTTTATTCGACTCCGTTTCATCAGGTCCAAATAAACGGAAAGTTTGCATGTTTTTGGCAACCACATCGCGTAAGAGCTTGGCCATGTTAGACATACTGGGAAGAAGGCTGACACCAGCTTCAATATTTTCGAATGCATATTTGCGGAAATCGGGCATGTCGAGTGGTTTTCTGAGGATTCCACCGTTACCGACAGGGTTGGCACTCATACGAGCATTGCCAACAGGAGCCAGTTCCTTTAGCTCAGGCAGTAGCTTACCCTCCTTGTCGAAAATCTCTTCAGGCTTGTAGCTGCGCATCCAAGACTCCAAAAGTTTCAAGTGGTCTGGGTTACTTGCAACATTTGGAAGCGGGATTTGATGTGCACGCCAAAAGCCTTCAAGTAACTTGTCATCGACCTTTCTTGGGCCTGTCCAACCTTTAGGGCTACGGAGAACAATCATGGGCCAGCGCGGTCGAACTGCTTTGCCAGATTCACGTGCCTCCTGGTATTTACGAATTTCGACGACACAGCGTTCCAGAGTTCCTGCCATAGCTTGGTGCATACTCTCGAGATCACTTCCCTCGACAAAGTATGGTTTCCATCCATAACCGACGAATAAAGATTCCAGTTCCTTGTGACTGATTCGAGCAAGGATCGTAGGATTGTTGATCTTGTAACCGTTGAGATGTAAAACTGGAAGAACAGCACCATCTGTGATCGGATTAAGGAATTTAGTTGAATGCCATGCTGTGGCCAAAGGTCCCGTTTCCGCCTCACCATCACCAACCATTGTCAATGTGATTAAGTTGGGATTATCGAAGACAGTGCCGAAAGCATGTGAGATGGAGTATCCCAGCTCTCCTCCCTCATGAATACTACCCGGTGTTTCTGGAGTAGCATGACTACCAATTCCACCGGGAAAAGAGAACTGCTTAAAGAACTTTCGCATTCCTTCCTCATCCTCCGACTTATCAGGGTATACTTCCGAGTAAGTACCCTCCAAATAAGCATTTGAAAGTACAGCAGGAGCTCCATGACCTGGACCAGAGACGAATAATGCATTCAAGTCGTACTTTTTGATGATTCGGTTCATATGAAGATATGTGAAAGCTTGACCAGCATCTGAGCCCCAATGTCCTAGAAGTCGAGCCTTCAAATGTTCTTTCTTGAGTGGTTCTTTGAGTAGGGCATTCTCTCGAAGGTAAAGCATGCCGAGACATAGATACATACAAGCACTGAAGTAAGCGTCATATTTCTTAACTTCTTCGGGTGAAAGTGGTTTTTCGTCGACTGTGGTGCGAGCAACTCCATATGGAGAAATGCTCTCAACTTCGACCTCACCAGAAGCTGGAGCCATGTTAAATTGTCTGAAGTAATTGGCGATACTCTCAATTAATTGACAAGGTTATGAGCGCCGTATCGAATAGTATGGATTGTAGTTGGTGTTCACCCGCAACAAATTGAAAGTTGAGGTGTTTTGTAATTGTATTGAAGAAGAAAGATGGAAGGAATGGAAAAGAAATGTGGAACTATGTAATGATTTTATTCACTGTATATATCAAAAACTCGAAGAGATATTCAATCCAAGAACCACTCGAATGCAAGCATTGCAAGCACCGCAAACACGGCTGGTGAAAGAGTGGGCTGATAAATCTTACCAGAAACTTTTTTTTTACCTAGTCAACTTGTTGCTATCATTTTCACATCAAAGTATATTCACTCTGCACCGTAGCTAGATCTCGATCTCATAAAGCAGTAGAACCAACCACAGCGTTATCGATAGTTACATTGCATATGACATGGTGCGATAAAAGTGTCTTCCCATTGCCTGCAAAGGAAATTCCAAGCGTTAGATATTCCCCTTACTCCCTACCTGTAGTAACACACACGCCGAACACCGACACGTTCATACGATTCGCGGAGCCGACTTTCCCCTCGCGCCTTATGCAACAAAATACCATGAAAACCATGAAAAGCATGAAAGTGGGCACATGTTACCCTCTGTCTGCATGAGAGGGGCAACAAATTTGCGCAGCATTGGCGGGGTTCCTGTGCCGCCTGTGCCACCTGAGAATAATGAGCTGACAATGACGCACCATGTGTTTAAGCAACAGCTATTTTACTATTCCATCGCACCATCACCGATAAGCTCGCCTAGAACCTTGGACTTTTTATATGGTCTGATAATGTGTGGCTAGATGTTCGTGTGCATCTCCCAGAGATAGGAAATTTTTCCGTTTGCATAGTTCATGCGGGGTAGTTCCACTGCTCTGCTCCACTGCTCCGGTGCTTAGTCATCAATCGATTACGCACGGCTAGACCGTCTTTGTAGTCTCAATGATTGATGATTGACAAGATTATTGTAACTACTAGGTAGAAAGTGTCTATACCTATACTAATAAACCACAGGTAAAATCTGCTCAATATTCATCCGCCCAGGGATTGGCCCAATGCCACGAGCTCGAATCTCTCGAGATCATACCGTACTCTACTATTGTTGGACTTGTCTAATACTTATTCTCTAATCATTCATTCCAAGCAGAAAACAAAAACAAAGTCACAGTATCCGAAAATAGATTATGGTAGAAGTAACTAGTAACTTGCTCGATGTTTACGACCAAAAAATACATAAATCGAGTATTCCAAGCCTCCTTTGCAACACCAGCATGATTACACTATAAAATCCCATACATGTCCTCCAATTCAACACCAATAACCCCATGCACCTCCACTCAAGCAACTCCCCCTCTATGATCGACCAACGCCGCCTTCTCTTCCTGAACTAACCCGTTCCCATCCCCATTCCCATTTCCATTTCCAGCACCCCTCCATTCCTTCCCATACCCCTCCACCGGCACCCAATGAGTACTTTTCCACGCCTTCCCCACACTCTCATACAACTCATCCACCTCCTCCAAACTAAGTCCCTTAGTCTCATAGATCAAAAAGTAGACAAACACCGCACACAACAAACAACACCCACCCCACACAAAAAATATCTTCGCCTGTAAGTTCGCGTTCCCGGGTCCAGGGTTGACTAAATAAGGAGTCGAATATGCGATAGCCCAGTTCAAGAGCCAGTTAGAGGCCGTGGTCATGGAGATACCTTTTGCGCGAACGGGGAGGGGAAATATTTCTCCGGGGATGATCCATCCGACGGGGCCCCAGCTGCTGGCGAAGAAAAATATGTAGACGCATACGAATGCGACGAGGGCCTTTTGCGCGGCTAAGTTGTCGCCGTTTGGGAAGGCGTTGCCCACGCTAGCGACTATCATTTGGCAGGCGAA